AATATCTGCAGTAGATTATCTTCATTGGGTGCCCATCACTGGAGTATCTAGGTGCCAATTCTCTTCTCAAACCTGCTTTATTCCTGTGGACAAGGCTTACATTCCCACCTGCTGGGTTTTAAGTATCAAGTAAGGAGCTAAAGATAATACAAGAAAAGCAACAGCTTTGCGCTTACTTACAAGTACTGTATCTGGAGTCATTCCTGTGTTTAAAGAGCTTAGTAAATTACTTCTCATGCCTTAAGCCCACCTCTAATGCAGATCAAGCAGTATCTCGTGCAAATATGATGAAAGTAGAGGGTACCTGGATGAGGAAGCGGCATGAAAACTGCTGATTTAGAGCAAGGCAGAGAAGCTTCACGGACACAGAATGAAAGAAAAAACATAAGTGAATAATGTCCAGGACAAGAAAAAAGAGTAAGACACAAAACATTTATAGACAATGATTTTGCCTAGTTCTCTTGTTTCCAAAGGCAGGAAATGGAAAAATGTTAATATTTGCGAATATCTTAATCAAATTAATTATTAAAATAATAATAAAAACCTGTTTGTATAATCAATGGTCATCTCTAAATTAATTCGATGTGATAAGATGGACATCACCAAAACAGCTGATTCTGTTAGTTGAATGGGATCACTATGAAATTCTTGTGCATCCTAGAGCTTCTGTGGCTACCTCACCTCTTTCTAGAGACCATGCATAGTTGTCATCTCTATCTCCGACCCTGGTGTGCTTGGGTTACTGATTTCATTCTGGGGATAACATTTCTCTCACCCCTTGCTTCCTTTCATCTCTCCTGAGATAATAGCAGAAGGTGAGAGAGACACATAGCAATGACCTGACTTCCCCAACAAGCTGAGCCTCTAATATGGCACAGTTAATTTGAATGCAAGACTTAGTCCACATCCACAGTTGCATAAAGACGTGGTAGGGTGGGCTAATTAAATGGTCAACAGGACCGAACAGTTTGAAAACCAAGGTCTGATCTACATACAAAGTTGTACCAGTTTAACATCACACCTTTAGCTAACCCGGTACGAATCTGTGCAGCTCAGGCCCAAGCAGTGGAAGATTTGGGGGTTGAGGTACAACATAAAGGGCTGCGACTTACAAACTGGTCCATAGAATGAGAAAGTTGGAGAATCACTGCTCTAATTCTAAGTCTCCCTTCCACCCAATTGCCAGAATGGGGTGAGTACATTCAGGTAGAGGCAAAACACTAATAAGAAATAAAAGGTGAAGAGAAGAGACAAAGTAACATTTCAATTAAGAGTTGGGGTAAGATATTCTTAGTTATTAGGGTTTTTGGGTGCTTTAATTTTTAAGTGACAAACTTGAAATATCTTTAAGGGGTGATTTTCAGAGGTTTTGAGCATCTCTGAACACCAGCCATTCAAGTTATCTGAAATTGGTACCCAAAATTCAATCGCTGGTAAATTACGAAAGTATTGGCCTATATGTAAATTGTAATGTATACCTATGTTCTTAATAGATGACTTGACGTGTCTTTCTGTATTCCTCTCATTTACTGTATATATTTGAAAAGTTCTGAAAATAAGTTTAAAAAAATTAAAATGCATTATAGAATCTTAGGACTGGAAGGGACCTTGAGAGGTCATCCAACCCAGTCCCCCTCCCCTGCCCTCATGGCAGGACTAAGTAATATCAAGACCATCCTCTGTATTAAGCAACATCTGCAAAAAAAAGCTTAAAGTTACCACTGAGCTTTCAGAGGAATGAGTTTTCTATGTGATAAATTTAACGGAATAACTTTCTTGCAGGTGGGAGGTCTAGTAAGTCACTTAAAATACTAGCCCACAACACAAAATAAAGCCAAGAAATACAAATCAGTTTTGTACATTTTAAAGAAATTTAAGAATCAGATATAGAATTCCTTATAGGCTGAAGCTTCTCTCTTTTGCTTTCTTCAACACTAGCAGAAAAATCGAAATGCTTAAACTGATAAAAAGCCAATAAGACCACTGAGAAAAATCTGCTCTCAGTAGCAGTAACTCCAGGTATATCGTATCTTTTAGCTCCTACAGCGCTAAACCACTCTTGATAGCTAAGCTATTGGATGAAGCAGTCTTGTGACCACAAAGCATGCTCTGACTAATCTCTAGCTCTGCATTTTATATAGTCTAATTTATTATTACAAAAAAAATTAATATAATGTAATAAATGTACACATTGAACAGACACTGCCAAACCCCCCACCCCCTTTTTTTTAAAAAGTGAATAGGATTTTTAAAAAATTAGTTTTCTCCCAAACTGTCTCCCATTGACCAGTGTGGTTGGCAGAACACTTGCTAGTGGTTTGCAGGGAGCTGACGTGTTCCTTGTTTCTAGTTGAGAGAAACAAAACAGATGGGAAGTGATGAAATGAAGAGCAAAAGCATACACGGCAATTTTTTTTGCCCTGAAAAGACCACCACAACACACAATGCAGTACAGAAGTTACGGATACATACTTTCCCAACATCACTTTACTATGTGTAAACAACTGCTGGAGTCGTCACAGAGATGTTACGTAAAATTGTGGGACGAGAGGTATCCGCAAGACAGGTCTTTCTATTAAGATGTTGACCAGCATGTCCTGAATTTTATTTTTTAAATGCCTTTAATTTTTTTCCTACTCCTGTTTGTCTGTCGGTTTCCATCTTCCTAACTGACCATAGAGGGAAACAAACAGTGTTGGCAAATACACAAATTAAACTGACAAAATTTTCCCTCAACTTTTTCCTGTAATAGGAATCTTACGTGCTATTTGTACTGTACCTATAGTCAGCTCAAAATTTTCAGAAAGAAATTGATTTTTAACTTAACTATGTCCCTTTAAATACTCACAGTAACACTATTGAGACACCATCTAAGATCTTCATGTAGTTTTCTGTTTTAAACAAAGTCTACCAACTTGACACTTTTGACTATTCATTGCTTTATAATACTTCTGCCAAAAATTACTGAATGTTTATAAACAAAGCTAAAACCACCTTCTTATTTAAGAAATTAAGATAGGAACATAAAAAAACTTGCAATGTAAAAAACTGATTTTTCCAAGATTTCTAAAACTAATGTCTACTGTAACCATTACTGAAAAATAGTGTTGATAATTTTAACACCTTGCGATCATAAACCTGATTGCACCCCAATTCTTCTGTTTCTCACTGCCCAAGTCTCGTTATTTGTCCTCAGCATGAACATCTATAATAAGGACACAGCAACAAGACTGCAATGACAATAAAAGCCTCCCTAGGGCTGAGCTGTGCTATTGATAAAGCAGCATAGACAGGTACAACGCTGAAAAACTAATACTCTTCTCCCATTCAGGACAAAGCTATTTAGTGAAATAAATCACCTTGGCTTAGCCAGAACTTGGGAAATGAGCCAGTTTCTCCTGAGGATAACGGATTTTTCTACCTAAACTGGTTCAATTTTCTCAAGACACAATCCTAGCACTCTCTCTTCAATGATTAAATCAACTAGTGTTTCACCTGTTCTAAAAAATTGGAGTCCACTTCTTCAAAGACACTGGACAGACTGCATTGAGGTCAAAACTAAGTGATAAAGTGGTAGATTTTAAATACACTTCAATGTTACTCATTTGGTAACCAGCTTTACAAGGCACTGCCTCATCTTTTGCAAACCTAATATTATCATATAGGCAAAGAAACATGGACAACAGCTGTGAGCGGAAAGGAGAACTGGAAGGCTAGATTTCTTGAGTGCAACTGACTCCTGGTTTTGGGCCAATAGAAGCCAGACAGAAAACAGAGGCAAGTACTGGACCTAAAGGCAAGCAAGAGACTACCAATCCTTGCATCCAGAATAGAAAAATAAGCATGGAACCAAAAAGATGATTTTTTAAAGTGTCAGAGCTGTAGCAATTTGAACACAACAGGGCAAAATTATACACTATATTGGTATCACTAACAGAGGCAGAAAAGACGTTTACTAGATGTGTAAGTTAGTAATCCAAAACTACTGCCTAATGTATCAAGAAATTTTCCCCTATATTCAACCTGTGTTTTCTTTGAACATTTCATCCTACTGCCCCCACTCATATCTTCATATACTGCATGTAATAATTCCTCACCTTGCTCGCTGTTTATCCCCCTGCATGCAAACATCTGCAGCTTTAATTCCTTCCATTTAGTTGTCACATAGCAAAGCATACATATTAAAGTCTTCCATTCCTCCATCATTTACTCTTTCCTAACACTTGGTAGTAGTTCTTTTTGGAACTTCTATTTACCAGTATCTTTTTAGTAATGTGGTCAGAAGTGAAACAGTATTTCAGGTGTGGGAGCACCAGTTCTTTTATTCAGCGGGACTACCACCTCTGTTCTGTGACATCATGCTGTTGCCTGTACAGCCTTAAACTACACTTTTTTTAAAAAAACTACATTACATTACCGACTCATATCTATTTAGTTTCCCCACTATAACCCCCATGTCTCCGTCAGCATTACTGCTTTCCAGGGCTTGCCTCCCACTGAGTACAGATGTTTTGGATTTTTTTCCCCTGGGGCATTAATTTGCATGTTCCTATCTTATCTTGACTCTCATATTGTTATTTCCATGATGAAATAGGATATCTCAACAGGAATGTAAACCTTTACTTTTTAGCACCCACTGCTCTAATATTATATAGACACAATAAAATGTAGCTCTTTCCTGCATGCTGCTGCACCTTGCTGTTATTCCTCAGCATGTATCGCTAACAACAGGAAAAACTTGAATCCCTAGGACATTTTGCAAGTTTTCCTCGTTAACAAATTTACCGTCGATACTGAGATGCAAGTAACATATGGCAATGTTGAGTCCCACTTACGGGGCCAGAAGACAATTTTCATGACAAACAAAATCAACATCAAGCTCTGCTTCAGAATGGAATGTCACTTACTATATTAACATCTCTGGGGTATTACTGAAACTTTTTGGTTTGGGGGCTTCAGTCTGTTCCCTTTATATTTGCAATATGAAAACATTTACTGACCTGGGGAATGCTGGGAAGTTGCAAGTGAGGTCATAGAATTAGAAAGGTTCAGGTTTGCAGTAATACTAAGCTGGCTCTGCACTGCAGGAGGATAAGGAGATGTAGGTGTCAGTAGAGATTCCTCACTGGTTTCCTCATCAATTCCAGGCAAATAGGTGTCAATCAAGGCATCAAGAAACTTCACTATAAGCTCAGCATCATCTGGGATTTGTGTTTGCTGTGGAAATAAAAAGAGATCTGTTCCTATTTCACTTCCACCAATATCAACATAAATTTTACCTCAAACCTTACTTTGGGGTTTGCTTTTTTTATCTAGGTCTTTAAGCATTTTATGTGGGCATGTGCAATCTAGGCTCATATTCAGATTAATTTTAATATACACTAAAGGCAATCTGAAGTTATAATATGAACATACCACTGGATAGCAGCAGCAAGTAATGAAGTGGGAGCACCAATGCCAAAATTTCCTTTAGAAGGTGAACTGCTGTGTCTAGTTCTGAACGTGGTGATTTATAAACATTATCTGTGCTCCTTTAAATCTAAATATCCAACCACTGCCCATCTCTGCTCATTTGGTCCTTGTTACATTGATTCGACAGAACAAATTGCAGTACAGGTGGTCAATACTTAAGACAATATTGCGTTCAGTGTAAAACGTGAAATTTATCATTGTGAATTTACTTCTGTATTGATTTCCACATTTCTGTAAGCCACAAAATACATTTAATAAAGAACTAAAGATGTGTTGAATGACAACGTATGTCAAGTGCCTCTTAATGACAACAAGAGCATTGCAAAGGGTTATTTACCAACTTGACTGCTCTTACCTGACTTTGATAGTTTAACAGTAGGTAAAATTATCTGTTTTTATATCTGCTTATCAAATCTATCAAGATTTGTGAGGTCCGCCAGAGGGCTAGTTACTGCCTTACACATAAAAGTTTGCCTAGTGGGCTAGTCTGTTTTATCAACATTATTTTTTTATATTTATATATAGTGCCATAAGGGCATCCTGGTGCTCCACATAGAGAATAAAGACAAGGTTCTGAAGAACTTACATTTTTTATACTATTCTTACCTTAGAGAATGGCCCAGCAAACCTCCACAACCCATTAAATCCAAAACCTATAACAACAAATTGAATATTACTACCCTATAACAAACAATTTTCTCATAGAATTTTGATAGGAAACCAAACTAATTAGAAAGTATACAAGATGCATCACTTGGATTTGCTTACATATTGAACAAAATGTTATGTAAGGATCTCACAGTGACAAACCGTGACATTTTTTATGCCTAAAAATAGATTGAATTTTGTGTTCAACATGTAAAAAGTACAACTGCTGAATTTTGTTTTTTATATATAATTTACATCTTAAGTGTAATAAATGAATTCAAAAACCCCAAATTGAAAAGGGATGCTGTCAGGTTAAGCATTTAAGCATGGATAACATTTCCACAAGGGAAATGACTTAGGAGCCTAAGTCACATTTTAAAAAGTGACTTAGGAGCCTAAATCTCATGGACTTTCAGTGCCTAAGTCACTCTGAAAACAGGATTTAGGTGCTTTTAAAATGTTACCTTATGCAATTAATTTACTAGTTAGACACTTGATTGTTACATCTAAGAGAATTTTACAAATCTCATTTATTATTAGCAATTTTTGACCAGTATTTGCATTTTATACTTCCCTCGCCGTGGTCAGTGGAAACAGATTACTGAGTTTTAATTTCTAGCCTATTTCACTTAGTGTTTTCTTAAGCAGTTGGCAACATGCAGTCATAGCAAGGAATTTGAAATTCACATTAAAATAGGTAATTTATTACAAACGAATACATTCTTACATTAAGATGTGTGGGTTTTTTTTTAATTTCACAAAACAAATTCTGGGCAACAATAATCCTGATGGAAACATTTTTATTTATTTATTGTACAGTAGAGCAGTTTAAAAAAAAGCAGAAAGATATTTACTTTGTAGGTAAGAAGTTTGGTACTGGGGTGGAGATTCTTCATGGTAGACAACACTCTGAACAATCCCATGAATTGGATTCAACAAATTTGGGTCTTGGCACAGTGACAAAAGAGTATTGATCTTGGAATCCAATAAATTGTGCCTAAACAATACAAAAGTAAGGGTCGTCTTTTTGTTCATATAGTTATCTAAAGTTAGATCTGAACTGCAGGTTCATTTATCAAACAAAACGATTGGGATGGGATTTTCAGAAGTGTCCAAGTGATTTAGGAGCAAAAGCACTATTCACTTTCAATGGGACTTATGCCCTTAAGTCACCTCAGTGCTTTTGAAAACCCCATAGAAAATTTAACACATCAACCCTTTTCTTTAATTAGCAATTAACAAAATACTCAAACATGCAAAATCAAATATTTGAATTATTTACAAGGAAATAATTAACTGGTAAAATGAATCTCTGGATTTACTCAGTCCTTGGTATTAACTCCTGATACTGTCATAAAGGACGCCAATTACTGCCTGTTTGATTTCGGTGACTTGTGAAATTCCTTTGACTCTGACCATCATTTTATAACAGGAGGAGATATTTTTTCTACTACATGCAGACCTGAATTTAAGAAGTCCACACAAGTTACACTACAATAGCTTGACTTTCCTAAACTGTATTGATTGCACATAGACAAGAATACAGTGATTAACTAAACAAACATGTATGCAAAATCATATTGAAGGAGTACACCTGGGCTGCACTTTAAATAACTTGTTTTGACAGCAAAAAGAACAAGGAGTACTTGTGGCACTTTAGAGACTAACAAATTTATCTGGGCATAAGCTTTCGTGGTCTAAAACCCACCCACAAAAGCTTATGCCCAAATAAATTTGTTAGTCTCGAAGGTGCCACAAGTACTCCTCATTCTTTTTGCTGATACAGACTAACACGGCTACCACTCTGAAACTTGTTTTGACAGGTCACTTGTGAAAGTTATTAGTGACCCCCCTTCATAGAGCAGCTCCTCCTTATCCCTGTTTGGCTGTTATTGGCTCTCAGCTAGGTGGACCCGATACTTCGATGACACTTGGACACCAGTAAAAAAAACCCAACCCTGTTTATCTGCTGGGGAAAAAAAAAAATCTAAAAGGTAACATGTATCCCCTTGTTTTGCAACAACACACTAATGCACTGTAAACAACCCGTAAGTTTTTATTTTTATTTCAACTCTTTTTTATAGTGTCAAACACTGAAACCATGATTGAACTGCTGGACCAATGGCTGCCATGAGCAGGGGAAGGTTTTGGTGTTAAGTCTGGAAGAAGCACAGCATAGGCAAGAGCAGTGCAAGATTATCCAGCGCCAGGCCAAAGCCCCCAAACTCTGACTTGGAAGGATTATGGCAGAGCATAATTCAGTCTCCATGGCTTTTGGCCTCTCTGTGGAAACGGTCAATAAGGGTACTTATTAGTACCAACTGTGGGGGTGGTTTCTGTCTTCAGGATACCGCTACCACCAAGAACACCAAACGCATTTCACCTAGGCCACTAGATAGCTTCCAATGGTAACAGCCTTCAGTCCTTACAAGTCTAAGTTAAATTTGAACGAGCAACCTAAGGGTAAAAAATGTCTTGTAACCCCCGCCATCCAGTTCCCGAAGTCATTTTATGCAAGTGTAAAGCAGCAAGCTTAATACGAAATTATATAAGCTGAGTTTTAATTACTTACACAACAGGAAAGACCTTTGGGAAGACGACACTGGCTTCTGCTAAATACTCGTAAAGAATTCGTTGGTCAAACTCATCTGTAGTGTACTTTACTAATGTTGCCTGGCATAATGCAAAGGACAAAAATCAGTATCTCTCTGATTTGGGAGGTGAATATTTGTGCTTAATTTTTTTATAACAAGGATTTCAAACATTGAGGGATGACACCAGTTCATCACTAACAGCACTTGATTGCCAAAAAAGGAGCACTAGCAAGATAGATAATCACATTAAGGGATTTTTTTTTTTTTTTTTTTTTTTTTTAAGGACAGTTTTCATTTCAAGTACACCTCTACCTCGATACAACGCTGCTCTCGGGAGCCAAAAAAATCTTACTGCGTTATAGGTGAAGCCCTGTTATATTGAACTTGCTTTGATCCACTGGAGTGCGCAGCCCCGCCCCCCCGGAGCACTGCTTTACCACGTTATATCTGAATTCGTGTTATATTGGGTAGCGTTATATCGAGGTAGAGGTGTATTTCATGTGCACACAGGAGACTGACAACGAATGGAGGTGGTCAAAATTAAAAAAAACAGCAACAATTTTGGTCAATACATTTCCCTCTTTTGGTGAGAAATGTTTTCAACAAAGACTGCCCCACCAGTTTTCAAAAAATGAAATTTTGGAAATGTACTCAAACTTCAAAGAGTTTCAGTAAGAACAAAAATTCAGATTAAACATTCTTGAATGTCTTTTCAGAGGACGGCAGTGATGGGAACTGCACTGGAGCAGGCTGGGAGAACATTTAAAGTAATTTATACTGCAACCCTCAACCACTGGGCTCAGATAAGTTTAAAAATCAAATGAATCTAGTTCCAGCAATTTAAGATTTAAAAAAATTATATATAATGCACACATTGTAGCATCATCATTTGTTTTATGATTCTCATCACCTGTGAAAAAGTGAGATAATTTGATGTACTCTGCAAAAAGGTGCATAAATGTGAACATTGAATATTTGCCTGTTTATGGATATTAAATATGCATTTTAAAAAGTAATTCTCTTGTACATCCTAGACATTAGTGGGGCAAAATAGAAGGCCTTTTACACATCAGGGACAGACCTTGATCAATCAAGCCCTACTAGGATTGCACTGAAACATACATGCTAGTTTTAAAGATATAGTGCATTAAAAAAAATACAGCATAATATGGGGAAAGTGTGCTTACAAGAACAGTAAGCAGCAGGGCTTGAATTTTTGGATCAGTAAGGACCTCTTCATCCAGGAGGACATTAGACTCAGACACAGAAACTTTCCGAAGGTGTGGGTGTTGTTGGGGTGATATTCTCTGGGTTTCTGCCAGAAAAAAAAAATTTACTCAGCCAGAGCACAATAATTAAAAAACAAAGAATTATATACCATCCCATCAAATTCAGCCACCTACAATGCCTATGAAGCAGCTTTGTGTTATCCACAACTCAATGACTTGTATGTTATGAAAAAGCATGTTTGTTGTAATAATAATAATAATAATAAATAATAATACCAAGCTCGTGTGTAATACTTTTCATTAGTAGGTAAAGAACAATATCCCATTTCACAGAAGGGGAAACTGAGGGACAGGAAGTTGAAGTGACTTGCCCAAAGTCACCCAATAGATGAGTGACAGAGCCAGGAACAGAACCCAGGCTTCCTGAGTACTAGTCCAGTGCTCTATCCATGAGGCCACTGGTTCCTTTGTAAAAACCCTGCATTCAGTGCTGATAAAAATATAAAGGGTATAATCTGCTTTCTTTCTGCTATGCAATGTTTATTTTTGGCTGCCTTTTACTCTAGGTCTCCGTATTAACTTTGTTCAATTGTAGTGATTCGAGATTCAATTGCCAGTGTTGCAAAAGGTTGAGGACTTTCTAGGTGGCTTGTTTTGTTAAGACAAATGCATATCTATTGCCTTGTTGTACCCTAAATAAATGAACACTGAATTTAGGAATAATCCTTTTCCTGTGCATGCGCTGCATTTAATACTAGGAACAGTCTAAAAGTGTTAGTCTTTCTTCTCACCCATGTCATAGTCATTTTCAGCTACTCTCCTCATTTTGGGGGGTGTGGTAATCCCAGATTCGATTTCTTGCCTTTTAGGAGCCTTTGTGTCTGATATCAAGTGGTCAAAACTTTTCCTTGTACCTAAAAAAAAAAAATTATCGAGAAATTAAATCAGTAAGCCATGGTGGATATTCTCTGTGTATCTGAATAGTAAGGTACTGAATGTTTTTTGCTGTGAAGGTATTACACTACCAAGGACATATGGACAAGAACACTGGGAGAGGTGGTCTCGCCATCCTCTGTGACACTGATATCTTTCGTATGGAACAGCAAAGCACATCCCTGCATGAGCAGGACCTCTGTAGGCCTTTGTCCTGCTGGTGTTCTAGAACAATCTTCACTTGTGGATACATTAGCTCTAGATATGGTCACAGTAGTACCTGGGATATTACTGTCACATCTTTTGAAACGCTTGGCTAACACATCAGTTTAGCAGCCAATTTTAAAAAATGATATTTATGGCTTAGGTGCCGAGTGTGTGCCACTTTATTTCCTGGTCAGCATACTACAGTGTCTCCCATTTAGTAAATATTCAAATGCCTTATTACTGGAACCCGAGTCTCTATCAGGGTCACTACTCCCTCTCACTCAGTGTGTATAATTTTAGTGTTTATGAAAGGTGAGAGGTTGAACAGCACTGGTTTGAGGTAAACAAGATGTGGGTATTGTGCAGGCCTCCCCAAAGCTCTAAAAAGCAATATAATCCTAAATGACGTGGCCAGTATAGTTATTCCAAATCCTTGATCCACTCTTGAGAAGGAAACAGAAGCATGCAGCTCACTGTAGTGGTCTAGCTGGCCAAGGCAGGAAGCTTGGTCACACCAGGTACTCTCCAATACTTCGATATCGCCACCAAGGCTATGATTTTGTCATGGATATTTTTAGTAAGTCATGGACTGGTTATGGGCAATAAACAAAAAATTACAGAAGCCGTGACCTGTCCCTGACTTTTACTAAAAACATCCCTGACAAAATGGGGAGGGAGGAAGGTCCAGCACCCTGGCTCTCCCCCCTCATCCCCATAGCAGCCGGCTGGGAGCTGCAGGGACCCCATTGCCCAGTGGTTGGGAGAGGTCCCCCACTGCTCTGCGGGGAACTGCGGAGAGGTCCCTGCCAGAGGTGGAGTCTGGGGAGCTGTGGAGGGTGGGGGCTGGGGATGGGGGGGCCTCCTGTCCCAGGCCACTGAGCAATTCCGGGGTGTGTCTGCTGTTGGCGGCTGGGGCGGGGGTGGGGACTGCTCCTCGCAGCGACTGAGCAGCTGCAAGGGGGGCCCCTGCCAGCGGCGGTGGCTGGGGAGCGGTGGGAGGGCCCCCCACCTGTGGATGCTGAGCAACTCTGGGGTCCCTCTGCTGCCGCCAGTGGTTGGGAGCTGCGGAGGGGCCCTGGCTGCTCATGGTGGCTGAGCCACTGCAGGGGGGGATCTCTGCCACAAGCAGCGGCTGGGCAGCTCTGGGGGTCCCGTGGAGACTAGGATGCTGCAGGGTCTCCAATGTCACAGAGGTCGCTGGAAGTCACGGATTCCGTGACTTCCGCCACCTCCGTGACATAATCTTAGCCTTAGTCATCACTTCCAGTTGACCAGAGTACTCACTCATTATGCCACAATCCTTCCCCATCCCTCTCTCTCCTGCAGACAAGTTGAAATAATGAATTCCAGGATATTCTGCCCCTTAAGGAACTGCTAAGTAACACGTTGAGGCCAAAATCACGTTTCATGGCATTCCCCCTACATGCTGTGCGATACTGAGTTCTAGGAACCTGATTCTCAATTATACTAAGGCCCCTTTATGCCACTTTCACAGTGTAAATTAGCCATAAAGAGAATGGAAACTGCTCTCTAAGGACGTCTCTGGCTGATGTAGAGCTGGCAAAAGGGATTTGCAGCAGCCCTATACAATCTCAGAATACAGGAAGGGTCAAGATGGCTTAAAGAACAGCTCAGGTCAGAGGCTATGGACTTGCAGATTGCCAATTCAAACCCGACATTCGTTGGAAGTAACTGAAAGTTGTTACTATCTGCTGATTGCTTGGTGGCCTTTATATTAGACGAGTCTTGTGGTCTCAAATAAGTTTCCACTGGTCCTGTGCTCACACCACCAACTGCTTAACTGCTGCTACTAACGAGCCCTTATTAGAAGGTTCAACAGGGAGACCGTCATGTTTCACTGCAAAGCCCCCCCCCCCTTTTTTTTTAATTAAAGACTTCCTATTGGGTGGGTGGAAGCAGGGAAGAGGGGAGAGTCTTAGTTTGGAGGGACTTTAATTGTGGAGGTTGGTCCAATTTGTATTGTGTAGGTGTTATGTATGTCACCAGAAGAAAGGACAGGCCCAATTTTAAAAATGTCAAATAAATACGTTATATTCACCCACAAACATTTTCTCTGTTTTAGCTTTTTAAACAGTTTGTAACAAACTAGTAAACCTAGTGTTTTACTTACCTAGTAGCTTTTTAGTGTTGGCTTGTGAAGGCTGTCCCATATCCAAGCTCATGGATTTTCGTGTTCGTGGGCTAATCTGTCCCACTGTGGGGTAATTGGCAGCAAGATGTCTGTCTGACCCCTTTGGAGAGGACCACGGTTGGTTTTCCTTTAGTGTCCTGACAGTGTGGAGGAATTTAATTTTTAAAAACCAAAAGTTGCACATATTTGGTTATAAAACCTCTAAGTATTTGAACTTTATAATAATAATAATAATAATAATAATAATAATTAAAGCTGTCAGCTGGAATTGTTTATATAGTAACCACTTTGGTTGCAAAATTCTGTAAATTTATCAGTGAAATGCAGCACCCTGTGTGATTATATTACTGAAATGGTAAAAACAAATAAGGAAATTACTCAATGTAAGGAAGCCAACTTATAAGGAAAGGTGAAGGCCCTGTTCAATAATCAGCTGATCTATAAGGTTTTTAGATCTTGTTTTATAAAAATGCTAATAACTCTAGAAATATGCTCAGGATTTCATAAAACCAGGCTTGCTTTTCCACTTACATGCAGACCTCCTATACTACGATTTCACTGTTCATAAACAATACTGATGTTACCAGCTACTGCATGCTGGAATCTCAGCTAAAGGAGGAAGAAGGGGATCACTAGGTAGCTATTTTATGGAGCTACTAAAGGAGAAAAATAAAGATGATTATGTTTTTAAAATTGTTGAAACAAGATTTAGGGTAAACTTCAGCCCTATGCAGAGAGGCTAGTATAAGCCCTAGACACCACTTAAGTCTCACTTAAGCATATAGTGCTTAAGTAGTGCATAGGCCTTGAAGCCTTAATGCACAGTTGATCTTTAAGCAGCCCTTCTTAATGCTGGTTCTAGTTTTTAACATATTACATGTTACCTTTAAATAACCTGCAAAAGGTACAGCTTTCTTCCCAAAGTATTCACTGAGGTTCACACAACTGCTGTAGTTTAAATATAGTGAGAGAGAGAGAGACTGACCTACAGCTGGTGTCACTGTGATGTATGGGATATGTATCCATAGGAACATTTTCCATTGAAACCTCTGTCAGCAAGAGAGATTTCCTATGTTTTAGGCTGCAGCGACTTCGAACTTCCTCAGATACTGTCAGCAAAGCTAAAAATCCAAAGAAAGTAAACAAGTTTTCAAAGACAGCAACATTTTCAGAAGTCTACGCAGTACTCCATGGATTTTAATTTTTTTCTTAGCACATACACAAATCCATTGGAAGCTGCAATCATTTCTCACTAAAATGCTTAAAGTCAATTAAAGGACAAGGAAGGTTTTTGAAATAATTTTAATAGTTAAATTATTTTTCATAACAGTCCCCTATAAGTTTACAACTAAAATTTTATTTAAATATTTCCCCTCCACATTCTTCATTCTTGCTAGGCTGCTAGAACTCTTGATTGCTTTATTTTTTTAACGTAAGCATTTAAGTATTTACATTTTAGAAACTCTCTCCAACCTGTGGGAGAATTTTGAAACAGATACCTCACTAGGTACCCCACATGCTGAGTTTACCAACTTTGTTAGCATTCCCTTCACTGATTTAACCTTTCAGACTAATTTTCTGAACAGCCCCGTCGTTCTCTGACAAAGTTTTCTTTAAATAGCTTTTAAATATTTTATCTACCTAAGGTCAAGAATTTCCAAACCTTTTGATTAGGCAGAAGGTTAGTAGTTCTTTTTTACCTGCCAGATAAGCCACACTCTGGGTATTCACCTCGAACTTGTCACAATTCCTATGTTTGTTAACCAGAGCTAGTAGTGTGTGTAAAATCCTTACTGTCCTTGCTACGATGGTAGGAGAGGGATGCCTGTATCCTAGGGAACAAGGTTATGAAGAAATCAAGTATTGAGTATTTAGTTTTTAATGCATATTTATTATAATGCTTTTACCAATATTTTTCAGTGAGATATTTCTCAGAACCCTTCATATATAGAGTAAGAAAGCACAAAATTAGTGAATGATGAATATACACTAAAATGATTATTTTCTGCCCCCTCCCAAAGACCAGAACACTGCAAGTGTCCAGGCAGATATTCTACATATTTATTTAAATTCTTGTCCCATTATGACCACCTATATAATATGCAGTAAGCCTGAAGTGGAGTCAAGCCTAACTGATAAAGAGAAAGCACTTTTACAGAAAGTACCACAGAAGAACAAATAGAAATAAAGCCATACCTCCAGTGACAGTTCACAGCGCACAACGTGAAATCCTGATGCCATTTAAGTGAATGAGAGTTTTGCAATTGATTTCAATGGGGACAGGATTTCACCCTTTATTCATTCTTGGACTTGGTTATGCTTCTAAACTAACTTAGAATATGACATGAAAACAAGCACAACAAATTTTCTATTCCTACCTTTTAGAAGATGTCCTACTAGTGCAAAATTAAAGTTAGAGTTAAAGTTGAGTCCAACAAAATGATCCATCTGTTTGCAGTGCCATTCCAAAGGTCTCCTGATTTCCATAAATACTTCTTCTGGGCTCTGTTAAGGAAAAACAGTGTCTGATGGTATTCAGCTGCAGATTATTCATACCACTAAATTTTTGGTAAAAAATTACAGAAATCCAACGTAGTTAGAAACTTGCAATAAAATATGTAAATAAAATCCTTATGTGTAATGTTGATATTTCTGTGTTGTGTCAGTCTGGGTGGATTCCAAGCAATATTACAAGTTATAAATTTGGACATTTTTCCTTTTTTCTTTCTTTCTTTCTTTCTGGAGGTGCAAGAATGAATTTGCCGTGATTGTGCTCTCTCGACATGTCAAAGATTAGGTTAAACATTTAAGGAGAAGTGGGAGAAGAGCCCAAAATGTATTCAGCTTCATTCAGTATCTTTTTACCCTGCAGTAGAATTTCAGGTTCAACAGGAATCAACGTTAGTAAGAGTTTTTATAAGGAGGTTTACATGAGGACTCTTAAATGTTGGAATATTGATTTCCTTGCAAGTCAGAGTACTGGACACCAGTTCTCTTCACTCAACTATTTTGTTCCACAAGGAGGTATACACACAGATTTGTTTGCTTTCAAAGATAAGAATGCACAGTACATTAAAGGTTACTCACACAGTTTACTAGCGGGTGTATCACTTACCTTGTCATTGAATACCCGAAGACCATCTAAGGTATGTAGATTTTGTTCAAGTAGTGCTGTACCTGCTGAATAAAGGTTAACTTCATCTAGCTGCAGCACTGCCATTGCCACCCAAAAGAGGGCTTTGTGCATAGGAGAGTCCTAGGGGAAAAGATTGCAGTGATTTTAATTTCAAAACGGTTTCTGGAAATGAATAAAATAGGACAAAATGTATCCTGGTAATCTTGTTTATGTCATGCATTCTTAAGCTATCCTTGATTGGTGGTGGTCTGTTATCTGCATATGGGGCTCTCTCCTCAACCACGTTAAAGACAAAACTGACAGTCCACATGAGCACCATCTATATTCCTCAAGCAGTTGTATTCTTCAAGGTGGATATCTAAGTACCACAGAAGAATCAGTCACAAGGATCATTCTTTGTGACTGCTGCCTCTCCATTCATTCCATTCTTTCAAATCAGTATTGCACCTTCATTCCACCAATCTGGGAAGTGATGTTTGTGTTCAATGCCAAGTCTAGATTCCAAAAGATGTAACCATAATGCTGTGGCCAAATTAGTCGGGCCATTACATGCCCAATCAGATTGGCATGCTGGGCAAGCGAGCATTCAACACGGTTTTTATTAAGATAATGTCTTCCTTATAAATGACAAACATACTGGGGATCCAATTCTTATCCTCTGTGCATGACATTACCAGAGATACTTGCAGGACCAGGGTCCAAAGTCTCTAGCTTTATATTTTACTGAGGTAGAGTCAAACTATTAGACTTCGAGTGAAATGAAACAGAACTTCCAAAGGCTACGTGGCCTTCATTGTCTTTACAATAAATACTCAAACTTCTGTACTAAAATGTAAGTTTGTGACATATCAACATAAAACTGAACCTGAAAATAATGTACTAAAAGCACAACTAATTCCTACAACTCATTGTTAATTCTAAACCCTATGTAATGCCATTCAGTTGGCTCAGCAGACAACGCTGCTAATATGAAATAAAGTTACCAAGATAACGATGAAATATCAAATGGTAAAATCACCAGAAGATCCTTCAGACAGATCACTAATATTTACTTAAATTCTTTGATGTGTATGGAAAATGAACATTACATTAACACGCCTTCTAAATGCATATATCAAGAAAATTGATGGAAAGTTAATTTCTCTTGAGAACAAATTTACAAGATCAGTTGCAAGCAGAAGAGACTTTACAGAGCCACCCTTTTCCAGTAATGCCCAGATTCAAGAGCTTCACCCCACTTTCAAATTTACTGTGTCCCTTTGACAGCGTGTGCAATACAACGCTGCAAGGAAATTTTACAGAGATTCATAATTGTATGCAAACTGCTGGGTTGACGAAGTCATGAACTTCATCACTGGAACATTTCAAGTCAAATGAGATTAGCTTTTATGATGAACTGGGATCCAGAAGACCTGTGCCAGCAGACACAGATTGGAATGGCAAAAAAGTTGAAGAGCTCAGGAGAGAAGATCATGAAATAACCTCTTTCAAACCTTGCTGTGGCTTTGGATCATAATTCTGCTTCACCAGACAATCACGTGCAAGCTCAGCTTTTCCAAATTTTTTGCAGAGAGGGTCTCAAATACAAAGCAGTGACATTTTTGATTTCCCTTTGAGCAGGAATTACTTTTAGAGTAAAGGAACAGGAATATTGCCAGAGATGAAGTTCACAATTTGTATTAATATTTTTGAGGTTAAACACGTTTATAGTTTTCATTTACAGAACAGATTCATAGTTTTATCAGTGTTATTTACCTTATTAAGAAGTGGCTGCAGCTTGGTTAGTGCGATAACTGTGGCTTCTATAAGAACTTGGCTGTTGTAATTATCAGGACCTTTTAAACAGCTCTCAAGTCCCTTTTTGGAAAAATGGAAAAAACATAATTTTTATTAAAAACAGGTTCTAAAGACCAAAGTTCTAACCAATAATTAACAGCAGTTTTGATTTAGTTTTGAAAAGTTTAAACTTGTTTTTAAAGGATTCTGAAGTATTGTCAGTGAGGATTACAAACCGAGAAAATGTTTCATGGTGCATATAAAATTTAAGGTGCTGTACTGTTATTTTAAGGATCAGTGGAGCTATTATATCAGAGGGATTGAGTAGTCCTGATATTTCAGATACTGTTCACCTAAATTTTATGTCTACGAAACTTGAGTAGAATAATAAAATGCTCAAGGGAAACTAATCTTTTTGGTATGCTGGTCACCTGCTATTAAACACAGCTTTATGATCTTGTTTGGTATCATGGACACCATTACCAAGCTAACTGCATAGTTTCAAAATATTTCACTTGCATAAATGGTAGGCACTTTATTCAAATTCTCTAAGTTACTTTATTTGCTTTTAACAGCTATTAAATGTATAACTTCCTTCATAGTTATGCAGATGCAGCTAAGTACTGAGCTCTTAGATTCAACCTCAATGCAATGCTCGAAATTCAGTTAGAGATAAATTATCTAGCTATACCATTTTTTGTATGAGCAGCAGCACTGGGTAAAATTACTAAAGAGAAATCAAATTCAGTACCACCAAATTTATTCTGGTCAGAAAAGGTTTGGCTACAAAAACTAGATTTTCAATTATGCATCAATTCCTCATTCTGCATAAGAATTCACCCTAAAACATGTCAGTCATTAAATTCTGCTGAATCCAAAATTTAATCGCGAGACAAAATTATTTGTCTGTTAAAGGAGCTATTCTATGATTTACATCAAGAAAAACGAAGAACCATATACCTTGCTAAGAATTCGGATTATTTGTTTTATTTGCCCATGTGACACCCGTTTACTGATACAGCCAAAGACGACAAGTGCTCTTGGTTGCAGAGATGGATTATATTGGAATGCAAACCTGTGAGAAATAGAAGTGAGTTGTCTTAAACAAGTTTGTTTCCATAAGCTTGCGTAGTGAAAAAAATCAAGGGTTACACATCTACTACATGTGTAGTTATAGGTTATGTTTCTGTGACTCACAACATACTTTTGTGCTAGGTCTGTCCACTGGTCCAGCCACTTGCATGTTGGAATATCTCTCATACAAGCCTAAAAAAAAAAAAAAAAGATATTGAATACATGTAACCTTAAGCAAAAGCACCTATTTAAAATATGTATCTGCTTTTAATTCTTAGAGAGCTATTCCTTATTTAAGCACTTAGTACTAAGCCTAGTCAGGAAGCCGACATCCTCTTATGCGGCTTGCCTGCATGATAGTATATACAATACTACTGTGTTATATCTCATGGTTTTAATTAGTTTCTCATTGTCTTACAAACCGTACCTCCATGATCTCCAGCAGAGCTTCAGTAACTGTTTCCAGGGAAGTCAGTGCAAAAGTCTCCCTCTCGTATGAACCAGGAGAGAATGACCTATCCCGATAACTGGATCGGAATGCTATGACAGCTGCTGATTTCACTTTGCTGATTCCAAACAGCAAATAAAACTTGGGCAGCGAGAACTCTGTCAAGCTGAGTCTCAAAACTTGCTTCGTCTCCTCTGTTAATTAAGAATTTACAAGTTACATTTAATATATTGAATCCCATCCCACCTTTCAAAAAGTACTTTCAAGACCCAAAGCCCATTTTTAAGGTGTAAGCATGTATTCTAGGAAGTGGACCGCCTTCACTTGGGGGGTGGGGGAGGGGGAGAAGACATACATTGTGTACGGTTCTGCCCGTTTTAATACTGTTTTGCATGCTATTGGCCTGTATTTATGCCACTGCATGCGTGGCCCAGTATACTGATTCTCAAAATGTGGTCAGGAGAATTAAATAGTTTGAAAAAACAAGCAGTAGGGAATTTGGCTGGGGGGGAGATGGTTCCATAAGATCTCTCTCTGAGGTGGGCCACAGAAAGAAAAGGGTAGAGAACATCTGGTATTGGGAGGTAGTGCTGCTGAGTTCTAGTCTGGTCATTTAGGCCCCGGTTTTCTGAATGGGAGCTGTAAGGTTCTGAGCATTTTTGAAAATCTGGTCACTTCATTTTAAAGCCTAAATAGAAGCTGAGCTCTTTTGCAAATCCATGTTGTGGGGTCTCAACACTTTTGTAAATCTGGCTTTTAACTTCATTACGTCTCAGTTTACACATCAGTAAACTACAGATACCTATCTATATCTCTGGGCTGTTGTGAGGCTTAATTCTTAGTATATATAACACGCTTTCAGATTCTTGGATAATGGCACTATATATATATATATGTGCAAAATATTGTAAGTTCTAAGGTTCCTTTAACATGCTTTCATACCTGCACTTTTGTAATAAGAAGCTATGAAGATGTATTTGCTAGTGGGTTTTAACTCTACTGGTTCTCAGAGTTTTATCTTGGGATCATTGAAAAACAGCAAAAATATAATAGCATGTAAGGTATCGTCTTACATAAGAGACATTTTGGTTACCTGGTATTCTATACATCTATTTATTCAACAGAAGGATTTCAGCCAATTAGAGCACAGACACAGTTTTTCTCTTCATCTACATCATGAAAATTCTTGTCGATAATGTCTCCACATCACCCCTTTTCCCAACAAGCCACTCCCTTTAGTCATTATTTACATTAAAGACCTGCCCTAAATCAGCTAATCAGTTTTTAGCCCAATTCTTATTCATTCTAGCCATACACCCATGCGGCAATCTCTCACAAAGCTGAAGAACAGCAACACAGCACTTTCAAAACCCCAGAAGAGAAACGAAACTTTAGTGTTACAGAAGATTAATCTTTATCGCTCACAAATATTCACAATGAATAGCAGAGGCTGATTAAATGACTCACTTTTGTTTCAACTATCCATCTCAGCCACCCTATTACTATTTTGTATGCAACAAAACAATTGTTATCCTATAATTAACTATCGTTAAATGAGTTGGAAATATTCTCTTATAGTAAGTTCTCCTAATGTATGACCATCGCAGGTGACAAGTTTCTACCACTCCACTGTAGCCATTGGTCATACTGGATCAAGCACAAGAAAGCTCAGCCGTGATCTAGTACTGAACTAGAGTTCAACTTTACTACTGGTCTGAAAATACATCACCGCAGTGCCACCTGTGGTCTCAGGGATTGTCTCCACTTACCGTGGATCCAAGATGTGGTGATAGATCCACCGGGAGTCAATTTAGTGGGTCTAGTGAAGACTCACTAAATTGACCGCCGATCGCTCTCCCATCGACTCTGGTACTCCACCAGAACGAGAAGCATAAGGTAAGTTGACCTAAGGTAAGTCGACTCCAGCTACGTTATTCACATAGCTGGAGTTGCGTAACTTAGGTCAACTTAACCCTGTAGTGTAGGCCTGCCCTCAGATACAGTAGCTTCATAGAAATGATGGTGGGGGAGAATGGGATGGGAACAGGTCAAGGAGACATTTGCTAAAGCAAAGTAAACTAATGAGTGATCAACTTAATATAATATTTCGTAAGAACTTACCGCTAAAGTGAAGTTGTGAACAAGTGCACAGAGAATGAATGATGTTGATGACCAGGCCATGGGTGGAAGCTCTAAGGGAAAGAGGACCAGTGGCCACCAACAAAGTAACAACATGGAAGAGGTAGGGGAGATGTGCTGCCACATCAAGAGAATTGTTAAAGGAGAGCATCAGCATGTAACGTGCTAGAATGGCAATATCATCCCACATCAGGTGTTGCTCTAATGTAGGAGTTGGAGACAGACAAGTCTTGTCGATTATTTTGCACATCCTCCCTATTACCTGAAAGGGAGCAAACATTTTCTTTTAGTTGAAGCAAAAACAGGGCTCAAAGTTTCACTCAAACACTATTACAATTAAACTTTACAATGTTTCTATTAAGAACACATATTAAAATACTATTGTACCACTGTTTAGAGCTGTGTCAAATTATTGACTGACTTAAAGGTAAGTTAAGGAATGGAAACACTCACTTTGCTTGAAACCAATTTCACATTTCCAGAAGCCAGTGCTACAGCTGTGTCTGCCATAACCTCAGCTTTTATGGATCCCAAGCCCCCTGTGGCACTGGTTTTGATGAAACTGTCCAGCACTACATCAAGTAGATCTGTTATCTATTGGAGAAAATAAGTAATCATTTGCTTGTTAATGTCAGGTACATGAAATTCAGTGTAACAATCTGAATTAAGCAGCCTGCTAGACAAGTGACCACTTAGTTCTATTACTTGAATGTATGTATGTGGTGAAAATTACAGCACCAGTTTCAGTGATTTTTCAACAAATGTTTACATTGTTACATCTGAATTAAGATGAACCCCACATAAAATTTATATTTAAAATAAAACTGAGTGTGCGCGCGCTTCACAGCTGTATAGTTAGATTGTGAGGACTTAGTTTGCATCGTTTTCTAGTTGCCATTTGAATCTAAGTTGTTAGATAAGTATTATTTAGAGCAACAATTTGGAAACTACGCACTGGGATTTTTAAGGTATAGTAAATCTGTTTTCTTTTTAAAAAGCAAGAAGAGATCTTATTGTTTATGTAAGGTATTGCCTAAAATATTAGCCAGACATGATCTTAGCTATCATTAAAAAGGTACTGATATCTTGCAAGAATTTTTAGGTTGTGAGAAAGCTACGTATTTAATACAGATATACAAGTCAGCAATGCAGAGGATGTTTCTCCTTAACTATCTAGACAAAATAGTACTAACGATTGAATTAGGCCACAGGCAGTGTTTGACTGCTGGTTTCAATCCATTGTAGTTTTCACCATCTAAGAACTTGGATAAAATCCTGGCTCCAAAGAATTCAATGGCAAGACTCCCACCGACTTCAAAGAAGCCAAGATTTCACCCTTTAATTCCACATTCTCCATGTCTGCCTGATAATTGACTTTCATCATGGAGATGGCATAATATAAATGACACTCTGAATGTTACGGTCCAGGGTTGCAATGTATACTGATTTTTAGTGACGGAAGTTGATCAAAAAGGAGAGGCAGCTCACCAATTTTGGTGGCAGCTACCATGTGTCTCAAAGTAATTTGGAGACGCTGTGTTGCAACATCATGTGGTGACAGGACTAAAGAAGAGCATGAGAAGGGGAAAAAGGGAAGGAATGTAACTAAAAGGAGTTCATGTCAGCCAGCAGGAGGTCAATAGTCAGTCAAGCAAACAAGCAGACATATTCTGACAGCGAGTGAAGCTGGTTTTTTTAGTTCAAACTTTCCTTATTAATGGCATAACTCTGAAAGCCATTTTTCCTCTCCTCCAACTTTTGTCTTCTGGGAACAGACTTCTGAGCTTAATTCATAATTAGGTTAGAGGCCACTGGGGAGAGGGGCTGTCATACTATTTGACTATATTAACATATTATGGAACATGTTCAATGTTGGTGGTTTAAACAAGGAGCTTTTATGCTCACTCTTGAAGTACCCATGCAACTATTATGGTTATAACAGGAATGCCAAAGATATTTCCTGAAACAAGGCGGGTGAGAATATCTTTTATTGGACCAACTTCTGTTGGTGAGAGAGACAAGCTTTCAAGCTTATCCAGAGCTCTTCTTCAGGTCTGGGCTACAACAACACTGCATACAAAGATACTTCCTGAATTTTCAGGTTTATGTAGAAGCCAGGAATGTGTTATTAAAAGCCAGAGCTCAATATTTAATGTTAACAGGAAACTTCATAAGAAGTTGTGTGTGCTGTGATCTACATACATGGTGAATATACTGAAGTGCTGTTAAAAGAAGAAAACTGTTTTGGCATTAATATTAAATGACTGTAAAATGCCTGTTGGCAGTGTTGTAGCCGTGTTTGTCCCGTATTAAAGAGACAAGGTGGGTGAGGTAATATCTTTATTGGACAAACTTCTGTTGGTGAAAGAGAAGCTTTCAAGCTACACAGATCTCTTCTGCTGGTCTGGGAAAGGTACTCAGAGGCCACATCAAACTACAAAATTAACTTGACCTAACTTACACTGGCATACAGCTTCCGCAGTAATTACATCACTTGTGCGTGTCTACACTTTGCTCCTTGTGTCGGCAGTACACATCCTCATCAGGATCGCTTGTATCAATTGCATTGTTAGTGTGGGGCATTATGGGATGGCTTCTGAAAGCCAGTAACAGTCGACATAAGCAATGCAGCATCTACTCTGACATTGCGTCACCCCAACGACATTGAACTTGACTCTATGCTGAGCGCGGAGGTGGAGTTATTAAGTCGGCATAGTGGGGTAGTTAAATTGGGGGGGAGTAAAATGTAAGTGTAGACACTTCGGGCAAGTCTACACTACGAAATTAAGTCGACTTAGGTTACATTGACATACAGCCACTGCAGTTTGGCATATCCACACTAGTGCCTTCTGTCAGTGGTGCGCGTCCTCATTAGGAGCGCTTGCACCGATTTAATTATCAGTGTGTGGCATTGTGATGCACTGACAATTGGAGCTCCAGGCGGTGGAGCTCTGGCTGTCAGCCACAAGGGGCTGACAGCTGGAACACTCGACGCAGTATCTACACTAACACTGCATTGACCTAAGTGCTATGCCTCTCGTGGAAGTGGAGTTATTAGGTCGGTGCAGTGGGTGACTTACATCAGCGGGAGCAACACTGTAGTGAAGGCATCTTACGCTGACCTAACTCTGTAGCGTAGACCAGACCAGAGTGTCACAACTAAATACAAGGTGGAAGAGATTGTTAAGGACCGTTCAAGGCAAGTGGTCCATTGACACCCGGGCAATCATACGACAAAAAGGAAAGGAGGGGGAGGGGTTAGTGGATTATAACCTATAATCTCATTTACACTTTGCTGTTAAAGGCATAATGAATTTATGCAGTCAGTACCTGTCCAAGACTCCCCCATATCTTTGCTTGAATGGAAGGATACATCTGTTTCTCATTTATTGTCATCGTTATAAGCTTATCAAGAATAGCTGTGACTCGCTGGCGTTTAGCATCATCATTGTGCTTACAGAATCGGACCAGATTCGACAACCAGGGAGTCATATATTCCAGGCAAAGGTGTTTCAGTTCAATACCTGAAATCAAAAATTAATGTTATTGTAACAGAAGGCCATTGATTGTCTCTTCTCTTTGTATGTGCAGAATTATTTGCAAGCACTTTTCTTTACGATTTTATTGTCCAAAAATAAAGTCTAGGTACCTGGACCAAAAAAAAAAAGGGTAAAAGATCAGAAGTAGGATTATTGTGTAAAAGGCAAAGCTTTAAAAAGAAACATACTGTTCTAGTGACATCCAAGCCATACATCTTTAGGAAGCTGGAAAGAAGAGTGACATCTTAATTCATGCTGAAGAGATGTAAGAGAAAGCGGCTCAAAGCTCGTAAACACACTAATATTTAGAATTTACATAGTACTTTTCATCTGCAATGTGCTTTCAAAACGTTAATTTTCAACACCCTCATGAAGTCGGTATAATCCTTATTTTACACATGAGGAAAAAAAGGCATCTATGTTCCAAGACTCAATCAAGGTTAGAGAGAGAGAGAATCAGACCCTGGATTAGAATTCAAAATTTGTGTGTCTCCTTTAAATTATTAACAATGTGTGTAGAGGAAAGATCCGACATATATTTTGGGCATATATTTTTTAGACTTCGGGGTTTATCACCAACATGGAACTCAGATTATGATTGGTGTCTATTTCTGGTGAATTTGTGACACTAAAGTAAGCCTCACCAAAGTAATCACTGTACTCAACTTTCAGCAGTGACATGAAAGAGCTAATATATAGTAAAATGTTACCTAACAAGCATTATCGTTGTAAACTACTGAAACCACTTGTACAATTTGTCTTACATTAATGTCAAAAAGTCTAAGGAATGTTTTAGACATTGATTCTATAAAAAAAAGAGGGCACTGTTCTGTGAATGAGATAATCTTGTCTTTACATTGTTCTCCATACTAGCAGATTCCAGTCTGTATCTTGACACTGCTTGGTTCCAGAGCACTTCACCACCTGCTGATTAGGTCACAGATATAATGGCTAAACTTGAAAAGCACCTGCAGATGCTTTAGGCTGCATTTCTAATTGAAGCCCACTGTGCTAATGGACTAGCTCAATAACATGAGAACATTTATTAACTCTATAACAGAACTGAAAAGCTTGAACTGTTTCAAACTCATTGTTAACGCTAGAGAAAATGAATGATACTTACTAGATTTGCTAAATCCAGAAATACACTCTTCCAAAAACTCTAAGGTAAGGTGTGGCTCATTAGCTGCCAGAGTCTTACTAATTGACACAATAAAAAGGGTGTTGTTGGCAGGGATACACAGACCTGAAGTCTCCAGTAACTGGCCCTCAATCTTTAAATTAAAGGTACAGGTTAAGGCACACAGAAGATTATAGGCAGCAGACCTGCAACAAAACATAAGTGATGCAATTTAAATTTTTTTCCCTATGCATCTAAAGAAAATCTGTACACAATAAATAATTCCATTAAAAACAGTACAAGAGTGGTAGTCATGTCTCTTAAAATTCAGTCTAGTGTTGCCATGCCAACAGGGGCAGCAGGTTTGTATAATTTTTGGTGGTGCCCAGAACAGGTCCAAGTCCTCCTCCCAACCCCCCGCCCCCACACCTGCCTTGTAAGCCGATACATATTTTTTAAAATACTGTAAAAATGGACTGGAAACAGTAGGTGTTTAACAGTTTCCCTATATTGCATAATGTGGGGTGGGGTAGGGGGCTGATGGCTCTGGCTGGGGGTGAAGGGTGGGCTCAGGACTAGGGGCAGAGGGTTGGGGGGTTGGGGGATGAGGGCTCTGGCTGGGGGTGCTGTCTAGGGTGGGGTGGGGTTGGGGATGAGGCATTTGGGGGGCTGAGGGCTCTGGCTGGGGCTGAGGGGTTTGGGGTGCAGGAGTGAGGGCTGCAGGATGGGGCCAGGGATGAGGGGTTCACGGTGCAGTAGGGGGCTCAGGGCTGGGGCAGAGGATTGGGGTGTGGGAGATGAGGGCTCTGGCTGTGGGTTCTGGGGTGGGGCAGTTTGGGGTGTGGGAGGGGCTCAGGGCTAGGGCAGAGGGTTGGAGTGCAGGAGGGGCTCAGGGCTAGGGCAGAGGGTTGGGGTGGGGCTGGGGATGAGTTTGGGGTGCAGGCAGGCTGCCCTGGGGCTGGGCCCAGAGAGGACTCCACAGTCCCCTAGTCCTCTCTTCCCCCCCCCCCCCAAGCAGCACCCTCACTGCACGCACTCCTAGGGGCCAGGCCCCCTCCCAGGTCCAGGAAGCCCCCTCAGCTCTCCTGTGGTGGGGGGCTGCCATCATGTGTGCGCCTCCTCCCCTCCTTCCTCTGCAGGTGGCGGCTGTGCCGCCACCTCACCCTGCCACCAGCGCCGCTCCCTTTTGTAGCCGGCAGCGGCCAGCGAGGGAGCGCAGTGCCAAGCGGCAGGCGGAGCCGGGGGAGAGACCCGGCCCCAAACATTGGCGGGGCCGGGCCCTCATGCCCTGAATTTGCTGGAGCACGGGCATCACAGGCCCATAACACTTGCTGCCCCTGCATGCCAAGGGAAACAGAAGTTTAGGTCCTGAGCTTAAATTTCTTCCTTCCAGGGACTGCCAGCACCACAGAGAACTCCTTCTCTCAATAAACCCTCTCTGACAAATTGAAAGAGCATCACTGAAGGGCTCCATGTCTAGTTACTCTTGGATGAAAGATTAGAATGATATGGAGGGGGGAGGGAGAAAGGAAGGGAAGACGGCTACCAAAGGGCTACCAAGCAAAAACCCGACCAATGGTTTTTCAGACCCATATAAAATCAATGTGTACATTTGAATTTAGGGATTTTTGAGATTGTGACTAAAACCAGTTCATCCTTGGAAAATCTCTCCTTAAATATTGCACATGTAACATTAAAGTGCTTATATCCTACACAGGTACATTTTACACAGTAATGGCAATAAGACAACTCTAGAATTCTCCTATGCATTAAAGTGAATGCGGGAAATATTCTCACCTTATTCCCACACAGAGAACAACATAGCCTATAAAAATTAAATATATATGTATGTATGTATATGTATATGATACTGTGTCTATATAGGTACATACACATATACAGAGCTGCTAGAAACTGGAATTCCCATTATAAATTCTGAAATTTCAAAAAAATATTCTTTCCAAAACTGAAATTTTTGAATTCCCCACAGAACAGGAATTCCAAATTCACAGACCTTTTTGAAATGTTTGAGGTCCCCCCGAAAATCCTGCCCTCCGGGAAGCCTGGGGGTTCCAAGCAGCTGGGAGCCTGAAAGCCCCCCTTCTGAGGTAGTCCACCTGGCAGGTTGGAGCCAGGGACCCTGGAGGCCCTGGCTTTGAGGCAGCTTCTCTGGTGGGCTGCCAGAGATCTAGGTCTTCTAGGCTCCCTGTCAGCCGTATTGCAGAGATGCTGGGAAGCTTGGAAGACAGGCCTTGTGGGCTGCTGAGAGCCCAGGAAGCTCCCAAACCCTCAGTGCCTTGTCAGCCTGCCCGGTGACTAACCTGGCAACAAACCAGGTAGGCTTGTGACAGAAACCTGCCTGGCAAGCAGGGTTCCATAGGAAACCTACCTGGTTTCTGTCAGAACTGGGATGTTTCCATAGAACTTTTTGATTTAGATGAACTTGCCTCTTCCACTGGAAAAATGTTCAGTTGGAAAATTTCTAGCCAGCTCTAATATGTCTCTTCCTTTTGTTTATTCTGCTTTCTAGCTGCAAAACAGCCACTAGTACCCCAAGACTGAATTCTAGTTTATGTTTTTAAAAACAAAGCCAGGAGAAAGATGTGAAGAGATTTAGGATTAGCTAAGTAAAGTAAAGTAAAGGTTTTTCAAAATAAGAGTTAAGACTTCCAAAACTTTTACAGTTAACCTAGTACAGTTGATCTTTCTTTGGGAAATATCAATGTTACTCCTAGATAAATGTCAAGGTTGTGGAGCTTTGGTGAAAGAATAATTATGTTTGCTGTAAAACACTTATTAATGGGGAAACCTTAGAAATAAATTAGCACACATTTTGGTCAAGACAAGGGTTAAGAGATCTCTACCGTAAACTAGGGTCTGAGCTTCCCAGGTTAAGCAATGCTATATTCAGTAGTGTTCCAGGGACATCCTTAGGGCGGATTTTAGTATGTTGTGGGATGGAGTCTGGTTGTGACAGCTCCCATCGAGTCCGTATGTGAATGATGGACTGCACGATGGCTTCGCACTCCTGATGCATGAAGGTGAGTGGTGTGCCTTGGTTGGCAATGGTTAAGGTGAACTGGTTCTCATCAACTAGACATATCTCCTCAATCTCAGAGGCATAGTAAATGTCATTTAGAAACACTGTCTGTCCCAGGACTCTTGTTCGATCTGCTGATGTTACCTGCACAGCGGTAGACCCAACCTTAGAAAGGAAAGAAAAAGTATTATTTAGTAGCTGTAGCTAAGAATATGAAGAATGAACAAGATCTGTTATTACCACTTTTTAAAGAGTAGGATGAGTAGCTGAAATCTGAATGATGAACAAGTGATATATTTACCAGTGTGATGCATGAACTATATTGGTGATTTCTCCTTAAGACTTAATGTCAGAAAAATAGCACACAGGTCTATAATGCCAAATTATACATAGCAATTCGATAGGAAGGGTGTTAAATGAGACTTACTTTAATAGAAACTTTGGTGTCTTTGTGGGCGAGTTTGAGAGCATTGTGGAATACTTTCAAGTCTTCTTCCAAAGCCAAGGTAGCAGCTGGAAGTTTCTGCTGGTCATGTTCAATGTGTTCTGCCAATTTCCCGGGAGAGTCTATAAAAATAAGTCTTTTGCTGCCTTTCAGGCCTGTCAGAAGCCTCTCGTGGTATTTGGTGTATTCCCTTACCCAAGAGTTGCAGTTGTAAATATAAACTGCTGAGACATTTTCATAAGCGAAGCCTGGAAACACTACAAACCACTTGGAAAGGAAGTCTGTTTTAAAGCGATTGCTGGGCCCGGCGTGAGTGAGGTCCACTACAATCTCATATGGCTTAGCATAGTATGGCTTCAAAGTTAGAAGAACATGGTATATCAATAAATCACCGTTGATCTGACCTGTTTTGAACCTAAGAAAAATAAGAAAAAACATTTCACATGTTGTTCCATGATTTCTCTTGGTTACGGTAGGAAAGCTTGCATGTAATCCTATACCAACTCCAGATATTCCAAAACAATTGTACTGGATCTGCAGAGACCATGTAGGCAATAGGCAAATAGCATCCATTCCCATTAAGCTTTAGCTCATCCATCATATTGGATATTGGAAACAGTTTTAGTATGACAGAGAATTAGAAGGCAGACACTGAGGTTATCCTCTTTCTTTCTGAATGAGTTCCATGGAATCTAATGTATAGCCACGCAGCCCCAGAAAGAGACAGAGAAGACCTCTATTTAACATTTCAATTAAAGAAAACATATGCTGCAGAGCAATGGCACATCAATTGCATCAAAATTGGATTACACATAAATAATGCAGTTTAGAGTCTCTCTCTACAAAGTAAAGGGGCAACATGATCTCAGCAAGGATTCCTCATCAAACGCCAATGTAGTCACTTTTCCACACTTGCAAATTACACCCACGTTGAAACATAAAAAAGGTAATTTATAATAGTGACGCTGCCCTAATTAAGCATCTTCAGGCACTTCCATTACAAACCCTCTTTTGAAGGGTTTGTAACTCTCACACTGCAGTTGCTGTAGGTTGAAACTTGGCATCTGACTGCCTAATTGGATGTAAGAGTGGCCAAACGACTAGTATAAATGTGCTTGTTAGATTTTCTGAAAACAACTAAACAAATCAGAAACTGCCTGAAATTATCTGAAAGATTTAGTTTTTAAGTAAAGCTGCTCTGCATCTTGAGAAGGACAGTCACCTTCCAAAATTAATCCAGAAGATTTTTAACATGGCAGATATAATTTTACTAGGTATCATTAACCCAAATCATAGTCAAACTCCACAGTAGCTTGTGGAAATCTGTGACACTTCTATCTGCTTACAGCATCTCTGTGCTACCATTACCTGGACTCTTCTAGCAAAGCTGGAGATTCTGTAAAGACAGAATTCACACAAATACATGCAATAAAAATAAAAGTTAAACAATATTGATTGCACTGGAGACACCATTTTTATATAACACGTAGGGAAAATAATCTGGTATAAAGATAAACATATATATGGTGCAGCAAGCAGAGAGTCTCTGCCCTAAAAACAGATTTTTTTTTCTATTGCACTTCCTGTCATTCTGAGAGCTAATTTGGGCAAGTTAGTACTTTCTTCCCCCCTCTAACATGTCATGGTAGAGTTGCAGTGGAAAGGAAATGTGTCATCTCTGTGGTTTAGTTTTCTGAGTGAGGAAATACAACTACATATTTTAGTTAGATTCACTTTTTTTTAAAAAAAAATCATCTTCTAGTCCATTTGTTTTATATTGCTGGTCGGTTGCATCCCAAGAAAAATATCAAGAAACTGCGTGATTAAGTAACAGAATAATCTGAAATTCAACTCTGATTTTGACCATACGTCTGGCAAGGTAGGTCCATATTTGCTTTCTTACTCTTTGCTTCTGAGTTTGTTAGAATTTGTAGAAAGTTGTAATGCAAAAAATGTTTTTACAAAACGTCACACAATTCACTACAATGCCCACGTCTGACAACTGCGATCAAGAAGTGAAATACTATCTTTTCCCAACCAGCCTATTTAGCTTGAATACAGGAAACTTACTAAAAATACAGATGTTATACTATGTTAAAGGGTGTTTATATTTCAGAGTCTGAGGCAAGCATTAAGAGTGTCATTCACTAGTTAGTCCCGTTGTGCCTATGTACTGTAGATCTTACTATATACTGACAGAAGATCCTATCTATACCTAAGCACAAAGGGGTAAATTAAAGAGAAAGATAACCTTTAATTATCAATTCCTTTGCTTTTGTTACTTTACATAAAACCATTAACATTTTGTCAACAAAGTTTGTTTATTTTTAACAGTACATCTGGTCTGGAACACTACAATTAACAGTGGGCTCATTGTACTGTCAGTGGAAGTATGCAGAAGCACTGTTGCAATTGTGTAACAGAAACATTAGGTGTTTGAGATACTTCCATTTATCAAATGCAATTGTACAGGGCAGACCCATCTAAAATGGCTAAAAATACCTAAAAAGGGTTAGTCAATTCAACTAGGGAATAATTTACATGGTTTACTTCAGCTTTCTCCTTCTACTTTGTTGCCATGTTACAAGACATCTTCTACAAACAATCTGAACCATTTTGAGATAAAAATCTTACCCCGCCTGCAGCTTATATGACAAGCTAGTTTTCTGCTCAGTTTGAAAAGGAGGAAGTCCTTACCTCAGAACTAAGTCTAATTTTAACTTAAATATGAACTGCAGAGAGAAAAACATTTGTGCCCTTTACTACTTCTTTGAGTCTGGCTTCATACATCATAAACTCAATCTTTTTTTAACAGTAGACATACCAGGAATATTAAGTCCTCACTTCCCCCGCTTTCTGGAAGACCCTGGCATGTCTAAGGCCTGGTCTACACTAGGCTTTTATGTCGACTTTAGCGCCGTTATATCGAATTAACCCTGCACCCGTCCACACCAGGAAGCCATTTAGTTCGACATAAAGCTCTCTTTAAATCGATTTCTGTAATCCTCCCCAACGAGAGGATTAGCGCTAAATTCGACATGGCCATATCGAATTAGGCTAGGTGTGGATGGAAATCGACGGTAATAGCTCCGGGAGCTATCCCACAGTGCACCACTCTGTTGACGCTCTGGACAGCAGTCCGAGCTCGGATGCTCTGACCAGCCACACCCCCGGGAAAATTTGAATTCATTTTCATTTTCCTGTCTGGGCAGTTTGAATCTCAGTTCCTCTTTGGACATCGAGGGGAGCTCAGCAGCAGTGGCAACTATGCAGAGCTCTCCAGCAGAGATGGCCGTGCAATCCAATAGAAAGAGGGCCCCAGCATGGACTGATCGGGAAGTCTTGGATCTCATCGCAGTGTGGGGCGATGAGTCCGTGCTTTCAGAGCTGCGCTCCAAAAGAAGGAATGCTAAGATCTACGAGAAGATCTCCAAAGCCATGGCAGAGAGAGGCTACAGCCGGGATGCAACGCAGTGCCGCGTGAAAATCAAGGAGCTGAGACAAGGCTACCAAAAAACCAAAGAGGCTAACGGACGCTCCGGATCCCAGCCCCACACATCCCGTTTCTACGAGGCACTGCATTCCATCCTGGGAGCGGCCGCCACCACTACCCCACCCCTGACCGTGGACTCCGAGGATGGGATCATGTCCGCGGCCGGTTCCTCGTCGGACATGACAGCGGACGGGGAAGATGAAGAAGGAGATGAGGAGGACGAGGCAGTCGACAGCGCTGGCACCGCTGATTTCCCCGACAGCCAGGAGCTCTTCGTCACCCTTACCGAGATCCCGTACCAACCGTCCCCATCCCTTACCCCGGACACAGAATCAGGGGACGGATCAAGCAGTAAGTGCTGTAAACATGTAAACATTTATTTAAAACAGAACGGTAATATTTATACTATTAACAATGTATATTTATAAAAGTGCTGTAAACTAGTAAAAAAATAATCAGGTACAAAACAGGAATATTTACAAAGGTAACAAATGGGTTTTGCATGATTTCTCTGTCTTAGGCTCTTCTCAATTTAGTCCCAAGTATTTTAAAAAAATTTCACAATGTCCGTTACTACATGATTCCCAGGCCCAAGACGCTCCACTCCAAAGTCCCAGTGCACCTACGCGAAAATCCGGTCAATGTGGCCGGGGATCGACGAGAAATCCTCGTAGGAGAACTCCTCGTAGGTCTCGTGGAGGTAGAGCTCAAGCCTGTTGATCAGGTTCCGGGGTAGGGCGATCTTAGTGGGCCCTCCGTGGTAGCAGACATGTCCCCTCCACGCCACAATCAAGTACTCCGGGATCATCGCACGACATAGCATGGCGGCATACGGCCCCGGTTTCTGCATGCTTTCCCGCAGCATGCGTTCTCTCTGGGTGTCCGGGATCCTCAGGAGGGTGATGTCGCTCATGACGCCCTGCTTTGAATTAGGGAGGGGAATGTTAGTATTGGGACTGCTTTACAGCCACGCGGTGGAGGGAGAGGGGCAGCATACAGGGATCTTTCCCTGGGACAGCCGCGAGGGGGTGGGACAGGGGCAGAGTTGATGCTGTCCTGATTGCTGGCAGCAGAGACTGGCATTGCTTTCAATGTGAAAGGAGGCCAGTGCTACTGCTGGAGTTTTAAGCAGCCACAAGTCTGCGGCTTACCATTATTGCCCGCTCCAGAAGTTCAGGTCTCCAGCCACAGTTCTCTGAACACTCCAAGACCTCCGCAAGTCCACAGGCACTGAAGGCGACGGCCGAAAATTCGACCTTGTCCTGAGTGCGCATGTGAGAGGTTCAGTGCATGGTCTTGTTCACAGAGAAAGACTAGGTTCTTTGTATACAATTTCATTTATCTGTCTCAGGAATTCACTCCCTTTTTAAAATTCACACAGACACATCTGCGACTGTCTCCCAACCCAGCCTGTCAGCACACTCCCAGAGGCTAGCGCAGATTAGGCGGAGGAAGAAGAAGACGCGTGAAGACATGTTCTCAGAACTAATGGGCTGCTCCCGAGCCCAGGCAGCCCAGCAGACACAGTGGAGGGAGAACTTGTCACAAATGCACCGAGCAGTCATGGAACGGGAGGAGAGGTGGCGTCAGGAGGACCAACAGGCTACTGAAAAGCTGCTTGGACTAATGAGGGAGCAAACGGACACGCTCCGGCGCCTTGTGGATGTTCTGCAAGACCAGAGGCAGGAGGACAGAGCCCCGCTGCAGTCTATCTGTAACCGCCCTCACCCGCCACCAAGTCCCACACCACCCTCACCCAAACTCCAAAGAAGGAGGGGCGGCAAGGGCCGTTAAAACTTTCAGTCAACCCCTGCAGACTGCTCTAGCACTAGAAGGCTGACATTCCCCAAAATTTCATAAGTCCTTTCCCACCCACCTCACAGAAGCCCCCGTCCAAGTTTCACACCCCACGTTTCATGTCTGGTTCGCAATAAAATGTTTGTTTCTGTCCATTACTGTTTCAGTCAGGTTCTTTTGAGGGAGAGTCTGTCTGGAGGGGGGGAAGGGGCTTGGTAATTGGGCAGGACAGTGACCTTTAGCAGGGTACAGAGGCGGTGTCAGGTCCAGCATCAGGACACATACACAGTGCAGTCACTGGTTACCCTGGTCAGTCTGGGAGGTGTTTTTCATGTTCTCCATTGAAATAACCAGTCCACCAGTGCGGAGCCTGTCATTCCGGGAGTTTAGAAGCATCATTTGCATCAGAACACTGAACCCGCCCCCCGCCACAGTCTGCGTCCCCGGTTTAAAATATTCCCGCGAAAACAGCAATACAGACAACGCTGTTCATTAACAAAATCGAAATGATTTTATTTTTTGGGAAGGGGAAGGGGGTGAAGGGGGTATGTAACTGGAGAGGATAGTCAAAATGAACTGGGTAAAGAAACGGGGGCAGGTTCAGCTTCTCTGTCCACAAACTGAAAAGTCACTGGTTGCCCTGCTCACTCAGGAACCTAGCTTTCAAAGCCTCCCGGATGCACAGGGCGTCCCGCTGGGATCTTCTAATGGCCCGGCTGTCTGGCTGGACGTAATCAGCGGCCAGGCTATTTGCCTCTACCTCCCACCCCGCCATAAAGGTCTCCCCCTTGCTCTCACATAGATTGTGGAGCACACAGCAAGCTGCAATAACGATGGGGATATTGGTTTCACTGAGATCACAGCGAGTGAGTAAGCTTCTCCATCTCCCTTTGAGACGGCCAAAAGCACACTCCACCACCATTCTGCACTTGCTGAGACGGTAGTTGAACAGTTCTTTTTCTGTGTCCAGGGCGCCAGTATAGGGCTTCATGAGCCAGGGCATTAGCGGGTAGGCTGGGTCCCCGAGGATGACTGTAGGCATCTCCACATCCCCAAGAGTTATTTTGTGGTCTGGGAAGTAAATACCTTCCTGCAGCCGTCTAAACAGACCAGAGTTCCTGAACACGCGAGCGTCATGAACCTTGCCCGGCCATCCGACGTAGATGTTTGTAAACCGTCCCCGATGGTCCACCAGTGCTTGCAGCACCATTGAAAAGTAGCCCTTTCTATTGATGTACTGGCTGGCCTGGTGGTCCGGTCCCAGGATAGGGATGTGAGTCCCATCGATAGCCCCTCCGCAGTTTGGAAATCCCATCGCGGCAAAGCCATCTATGATGACCTGCGCGTTTCCCAGGGTCACTACCTTTG